TTACAGCGTTGTTGAAACACCAAGATATCAAAATTTAGCACATTAATCTCAGTAATGGTGGCAATTTCTTTTTTATTCATGCAGCAGTGCATGCTGGGAGTTTTATACAATCCTGGAACCCAGCATGCACTGCTGTATGAAACTTTTGAATGTTACCGTTGTTGAGATGAATATTATAATTGTTGATGTCTGTGTGTGTCTGACTTTAGCAGGATATTATTTAAATGTTTTATGTGATTACAATAGTATTCAGAAGACATGATTAACCAACATATTGATTTCATGTTGTAGATTCTCAGATTTATTTTATAATCATAACTTAATGTAAGTTTCATATTAAGTACCCATTTATTCTAAGAGTATAAACCAGAAAGAACTGAAAATCAGACATATCCAGAATGATCATGACATCATCACAAAAGCCAAAAACACCAGATCAATTTCCACTTGACTTTTTCTTGCTACAACAAATGTGTTTTAAAACTCACTGTTACAGCAGTCAGAGAAAGATAAATGTCACAAGTCCAGGGATAAGAGACCTACTAAAGCAAATACTAATCTCCATTATGGTGACAAAAAACTTTATTATTAATTAAATCTCTGTTAATTCTCAACAAGAACTTTTGTACATGTATGAAATAAATAATGTTAAACTGGTTTGTAAACTGTTTTCACACTCTGTGTTGCTAGAAGTCAGTTGTAGATCTTGTGTTTCTCTTTTTCAGTTCTTGTTTCTCTGTCCTTCAGTGATTCTGCTTATCAGGTGTTCATCAGTGTCTCAATTCACTCACTTCTTTTCATTCTAGTGGACTATATTAGTGAACTAATGTAGGGAATAGTGAATGAGGGTATAGGGTGTGATTAGGAACACAGTCTCTGAGTGTTGACTTTGAGAGCTGTTAATTCACAGTATATTCCTGTAGGCTAGTTTTGTTTTCTACGGTATATAACTGTTTTAATGGAAAATGGTATGATAGTGTCAGAATTTGGCCTGTTGCCAGTATTTTACTGTAATAAACCTGGTAAGGTCTAACAGTGTAGTACATGCTCATCGTAGCGTCATTGGGCCATAAACGTGTAACAACACAGCATCGCAAGAAGACGTAGCCTACATCATCTTTCATTATTTCGGTAAATGTCTCCCACACTTACTCTTTCTATTTGTGTATTTGCGGAGCTTCCACTCCCCAGTCTTCACCTTTTCTCTTGCCGCCTCCATCTCTCTGCAGACTAGTGATCATAGACATGGCCGGTTCGTGAACGAATCGGTTCTTTTTAATGAACCGGTCGAACCAGTACGCTAAATCGAACTGAATCATTCGCATCAGTTCACGTCTTGCGTCAGTGCTGATCCACAAGTTACTACAGTTACTCACTTTCAGACATGCCTGACAGTCCCTCCGAGTTGAAATAAACCAATATCCCGAATTATATTTTACTCCAGTAACTCTAACAGTTCACTGAACTGAGACATGTTGTTGATACTGCTGATACTGCGCATCCGCGTATAGTAACGAACGCAGAGGTACAGCGGTTCTCGGATCACACCAGTACAGAACTGAGAACTGTTTAGACTGAGCTTGTGTGTCATCTTCGTGCCAGTTATTTAGCCAATAAATAAATTCGGCCTATATATTTCATAGAAAATTCTATCTAGTACTATATAAATACAAAGGTTTAATTGGCATTTTTTTCCAAACGACCTGACCGACCGCGACCCGAATATCATTAAAAATATTTTTGGATGACCCGTAACTGCGGGTACCCAGGCACCCGCTCATTTTGGATCAACCCGTGCATCACTGGTGTGGAACAATTTCAAAGTGAATGGCTTTGGATTAGGAGAATAAGTTTACTTGTAGTCGCCAAGTTACTTATAGTCAGTTGAATGTCTGTTGGGGGACCAAATAAATAAAGTGTTATCAGATATTAAGCTGATCGTACTAATACTCTAGTCTACTAATACTCTAATGACAGTTAGTTGACATGTAATTGAAAAGTTACTTATAGTTAGTAAAGTGGACTATCGAAATAAAGTGTTACCCAAGTAATTTAATCAAGGACCTAAAAACCTGTATATAAAAATATTTAAATCATGTTTTTTTTGTTTTTTTATTAAGTACTCGATATCGGTATCGGCGAGTACTGAAATGCAAGTACTCGTACTCGTACTCGTTTTCCAAAAAAGTGGTATCGGTGCATCCCTAGTGTGTATATTAACTCACCGGCCGTGGCTGCAATAGTGTCCCGATTGTCTCGCGAGTCGCCACTAACAGAGAGACGGTGACCCATCACACCATCCATCAAGTGCACCATCGTGCATTTTAATCACCTTGTACAATATTGCGCCCACAACTTTTTTATTTTTCCTGAACTTGAACCGTTGCTCGCTGAATTTTTTTATTTTTATTTACAGGGTCAATGCACATTAATAAACAAGTGTAAACGTGCCAGAATTAGCCCAAGAGGCTATTTTTCATCCGTAGACCCTTGACAGAATGTTACACAGTCACCCTAAAAACAGAGACAGAGAGCATCACACATATACAAAAAAAAAAACAAGATAAAATAAAATAAACATATATTATCTAAAACAAAAACAAAACAAAAAAACATGAGAGAGAGAAAGAGAAAGATTTGCTACACAAGAGAGGGACAAAGCCAAGAGCAATTGGTACAAAATAAGTCTATTATCAAGAATACAATACTAATGTTGACAGTGCTGATTTGTCAGTAACCATTTTTTAAGATGAGACTGAAAAGAACCAAAAACATGCCATTGTCTAATTGTTGATGGGACGAAGTTGCATTCCCTTGCAGCTCTGACCGAAAACACACACTGGCTAATGGTACTTCTTTTGAGAGGGATAATACAGTCCCCTCTTTTCCCTCCTCTTGTAGATCAGTGTTCTAATGTTCACAAACTGTTTTAATGGTGAAGACAGGCTATGTATAGTCTTAAACAGCAAACAGATATGTACATATTTAATTAAGTTATCCCAGCTTAGCAAGTTGTATTTTTTTAATATTGAGCAGTGATGAAACCGAACGGATTTCTTGTCAAGAGTTTTTAGTGACTGTTCATACAAAGACTCTAGTGGTTTCAGAGTAGTAATATTAGCATGCGACCAAGTAGTTAAACAGTAGGTAATATGAGAAATAATCATGGAATGCATATACATCAAAGCGGCTTCAGACGACATATAATCAAGAATAAATCTAAATTTTGATAAACTAAATCTGACCTTCTTACAGACCTTTTTAACCTGTGCCTTAAATGAAAATTTGGAATCAATCAAAATACCAAGTTTAGCTTAGAAAGTTCAGCATCGATGTATTTTGTAACATCCTTGTTTCTTCACACGCCGTCAAATTGACGTCATACACTTTCTTCTGCCCAAATGCTCAGAAGAGCTGTGGCATCCTCAACAGACCAGTATAGGCGATTCTCCATTTCAAGCAGCGATTTATTTATTTATTTATTTATTTATTTGTTTTGCGCGATATAAAAAAGTGAAATGCGCATCTTGCTTCAGATCATAACTATTACCGCCTATTACCTTGAGCATGCCTCTAGCCCGAGCTGGCCCGCGTATTCAACGGGCCAGAAATCCTGGCCATTGGCCCCGAGTAAGCCCCGAGTAAGCCCCGATCAAGCCCCGGAAGTGACAGTGGAAACGCGACTGGCCCTGGCACGCACTAGCAAGGCTTGGCACTGGCTTGGCAGTGGAATAGATTAAGAGTAAAAATACACAAACCAGAAGCTTAAGAAAATACTTTTTCCTTTTACAAAGTTCTACTCAAAAATAAATCCAAGTCAAAAATCTTTTTAATTATTTGTCCACCCCTTTGCAACCCTTTCTCGCAGTCGCAGTGAAGTTCTTGTTTGTTCTTGTGTGATGATAAACTAAGCATCCTAAATTACTTGTTTTATCCTTGTTCCTCTTTATTATTTAATTGTTGGTTATGTAAATAGGCTACACTCTTCATTGCGAAACAAAACCTTGCAGGTTGACCTTCAGTCTGCTTGTCACAGATCGCCAGAGATGGATTTTATAACCAGCCTATGTTACTATTCTTCATGTGTCGACACACCCATGTGCTTTTATACTTCAGAAGCTCCTGACAGCCTCCAGGCATGTTACTGATACTGAACAGTCACACTTTATGGGATTTGACTGTTTAAGTGGTTTTTCATGTACCAGTGCTCAAGGTCGATTGCTCGTCATCTTCTTAGACAGGTATTTAGAAACTTTTGATTTTGATTGAAATGACACCAGTCGTAACCTAAGGCCAAAGATGAGTCAAACCTTGTCAGACCTTGTCATGTTGCCTCACGTTTGTAGTGTTAAAACATTTCAGCTCTTAAACATCATCATATAGGTGTGTTATTGATGCAAAAGCTGTTCTGAAATGTAAGTAACGTTGTTATACCAGATTATCACAAACAAAAATGCAACAAATATGCATCGTGGATATTTCACCCAAATGAGAATCACTTTGCGTGAAAAAATTCTAGTTTGCAAAGTTTTCGTGTCACTACTACATTAATCTACTATATATAATGTTGATTGTAAGGGAATATTTGTGGGTCCTGATAATGCCAAATGTCTGATGTTACCAGTAAAAAATGTCCAACATTATTTTAAATACATCTAGTCAGTGACAGTGCAAGCGTATTCGTCAAAAAAATTCTGTATTTTCATCTTCAGAATCATGAATATTGTTATTCTGGTGTCTCTATTGTCCTGTGCTTTGGGTTTCCAGCACCAAGTCCAAGTCTATTCATTTACACCCACAATGTAATATTAAATTTAGCATTTTAATCAACAGTTAATCTTTTACCATATTTCTTGGAGTATCATAATAATATTGTGTCGTGAGTTCAATGTATCGTATCATGCCATGAGGGTATCGTTACACCCCTAGTATTTAGTTATGCGTTGCTGTTTTGACTGCTGGATCAGTGATTGATCGTCTGATTGGTCTATGACCCTTAGGGCAGTCGGCCACCACACATACGGTTTGACCTACAGAGAGCAGATTGTGGATCAGGTCCGTAAGGCTGCAGAACACTGTGACTGTCTTCAGTGCTTCTTCCTCATTCATTCCATGGGAGGAGGTGAGCTTCTGATGTCATGTTACCAGTGTTCAGATTTGGTGGTTGAGAAACGTGGGGTGATATAAGCGTACATTTGTGTGTTTAGGCACTGGTTCGGGGTTAGGCACATTTGTGTTGAAGCTTCTAGAAGAGGAGTTCCCTGAGGTGTGCCGCATAGTGACCTCGGTTTACCCGACGGCCGAGGATGATGTCATCACCTCTCCCTATAACAGCGTCCTAGCCATGAAAGAGCTTACAGAACATGCAGACTGCGTCTTGCCGGTCGATAACCAGGTATGACTTTGTAAAAATGTGTGTTTTAGAACTGACAATTCTTTCGTCCGTTACCTACTCATGTTTTTCCCATTTGTTTTTTTTTTTTTGTCTTGTGCAGCAGATGTTAGGCAGAATGTTCACACTGCACTTTTAAATACAATGAAATGGGCACAGATGTTTGCAAGCTCAAAAATAAATAAATAAATAAACACCATAAAGAACCTTAGAAGTTTCTATCTAAAAATTACTAAATTATAATTTTGTAATTACGTCCTTCTCTCAACAACAACAACAAGGAATTTGACAACAATGATGTTGAACAAAACTAGCCACTAGGGGTGTAACGATACCCTCATTTCACAATTCGATACATATCACGATACTGAACACATGATATGATATTGTTGCGATACTCGAAGATATATGGTAAAAAGTTAACCTTGTCTGGTCCGGATTTTCTGACGAATCAAAATTACAGGTGTGAAACCTCCCCCGTACCATGGTCCGGACCAAACAGACGAAATTTGGTCTGACGAAAAGAGGTAGTCTCGGTCTGGATTCAAACTGAACAAAGGTTTCATTCATTTCTAGTGTGAAAGCATTTCTGTATGGTTCGGACTTTCAGTTCATTTACAGGACTTTATGGAGGTTCTCGCAGGATTGCTTGCAGTTGTCTCCGCCTTCCCTGACGGCGATAAGAAAATGTTCGCACAACGAGGACGTTTATGTGGCGAATTTGAACTAGCCTAGAGTATAGTTTGTGTCATTGTTAGTAGCGCCGTAATAATAACAGTAAAGTGGCAACGATATGCATCTGTTCATTCCTTCTTGTCAAAAGTTACCCGCCGAATTGACAACATGCTGACAGATGCACGTCCGTTTACAAACCAATCAATGTCAAGATTGCAGCCCACATAGATGATGACGACAGGACACACGCATGTCATGTAAAGTTCTTTAGTGTGCTCGCATAATTACAGTGTGAAACCAAACCAAAACTTACTGAATGTAAAACAATTATAATATATATATATATATATATATATATATATACTGTATATATATATATAATATCAATAATAATGTTATGAATATTAATAATATTATATAATAGTTTCAACTAAAATGTAGTACTGATATTAAAACTCTGTAAACTAAATTATTTTCCACACAGTCATTTTTATTTTGAGTGAACAATACAAAATACAGATTGTCACTATTCACAATAGATATTGTGACTATATTCTGTTACACCCCTACTGGCCACATGTCTCAACCATTTGCAACTCACAATTTGAGTATGTTGATGTGCCAATGACACTGAATGGAAAGTTTTTCATAGAATAAAGACATAAATAACGGTCTATTCGTCAATCGTCACACAAATCTATTGTATCGTGTCATCAGGAAACTTGGAATGGAGCTTACAAGTCTCATATACTAGTATTAATGTGCTTTATTGTCAAGCTCAGCCCTGATTACTTTTGCTGTGTGGAAAAGAGGTGTATTGATGTTCTTCACAATTGTTTTCTTTTGTGGAAAAACGCATGGGAACTCGTACAGCTTTTGAATGGCATGAGCGTGACCAGATCATACCGATTTTAATTATTTTTCTCTACTATTATTCTAGTCTCTGGTGGACATTGTTGGTAAGATACAGCACATGTCCAACACTGGCAAACCAAGCTGTACTATCAAGAAGGACTGTACCATCATCTCTGGACAAGGAGGGGTGGTGAAGGTCGAAAAACCTTTTGATGCCATGAACAACATTGTGGCCAATCTACTTCTTAATATCACCAGGTACTAAATCATGTGCTAAAAAATGGGAAATTTTAGCTTGGGCTTTATGCAGTAGTGAAAGTGTAGTGAAACCTTCATTAGGAATTAAAAGAGAAGTACATAATAAAAGGAATGCTCTTCACACCTTTTAAAATAACCTTTAATAGAGGAATCACAGGAATTATTTTGTGCATAATAATTGAGATTAATAGACATTGGATGTATTTTACCCCTGACTTTATAGATTCAATATTTTAATCTCGATTAACCTCTTAACTGTCACCCCCCCTTTTTTGAATAGACATGAAAATGCACATTTCGAACTTAAATGGTTGTAATTCAAGAATGCTTTGGAATATAGACATATGATTGGTCTTGTTTTAAAGAAGACATTTGGCAGATTTTTGTAGAAGTGAAATAAATTAAGAAAGTGAAACAGAAAAAAAGTTATAGAAGTTTGAGTTTATGGAAATGTACAATGTAAAAATATTAATTATTCATATTTTACATAAAATATATATTTTCAAAACCTGGGCTACTCTAAAACGGCAGAAAGATCAAAGCCAAAAATCTGAACAAGTTGTGTTTCAAATTTTAGGTTGATATCTCAAAAAAATGAGCTTTCAGTTAGATTTTGTTTGGGCGCAGTACCAAACTTTTTCACTAGGGCACAACCAGACTCCATTACTGCCCATATAAGGGCGCCTGCATTTCCATTCGTGTTTTGAGTGATATGAACCATTATTTTCACAATTTTCATACAATTTCTGAAGTAGAGATCCTATTCAGAAGTACTATGGGAAGTTTGGCAGATTTTGAAATGAATTGAACCTCTAAGAAACACATACAAAGAACACGCATGTAAGTCATAGCTAGCTGCCATGTCACAAATGGTGAATTTATTATTTTTTTCTTGATATTTCAAACTTTTCAGACCTTTTTTTCCAAAATAATTGAATGGATTCTATCTTTTGAACTTTTGGCATGAAAACAAACTGAGGTATCTACCATTTTTTCATGATTTTTCATGTTTACTGCAATTTTAAAATAAAGGTCTGAACACGCCTTATGAGTATGAAAATATTCTTGTTGCATATTGATAAATGATGGCTCCTCTGTAATATATTTTGAAAATCAAGTCACCAAATATGGAAACTAGAGATTGTAAGCTTTCAAATGATATATAGTTTGTCAATATTATTTACGGTATTTACTAAGATATTATTGTTTTAAAAATAGAATGGCAAGCGTCCCACCTGTGGGACAGTGAGAGTTAAGTCACACACACTTATCTTGAAATTAAGCATACACCATTTAACTTGTTTAACACTTTTATTTAGTCATTTTTTGCTGCTATATCCAGCAATGTAAACCAAAGGAAAGTTGTGGTGTATTTCCAAAAAGGTCATTTTCCAAAAGGAGACCAAATAACCAAATAAGAAGTCTTAATAATTTATAAATTTGTGCACACCAAAGCACCCATGAAACAAACATTGCAGATTTTCTTAGCATTATTAAAACAGACTTGTGTGCTTACTGTATGACTCCTGCACAATCATCTTTACTTTGGTTGCAATCCTGCAATCTTCATCAATACTTTACTGGCTAGAAGCTGATTTTTATGTAAATTTAAAAGTAGTTATAAAAATAATGTTTATAGACCATTTCAAAAGATGTAAACAACACTGGTCCAGAAGCACTTCCTGTTTCAGTTTGTAACTGTTTTCTTTATTTCACATGTCAAGAAAACATCTTAAAGATGTTTGTTTAACTTTTTGATTTAGTTTTAAATGTTCTGTTGGTTGTATTTTATCCCAGCTTTTATGTAGTGTTAAAAAACTGAAACAGGAAGTGCTTCTGGACCAGTGTCGTTTACATCTTGTGAAATGGTCTATAGAAAGTAATGGAACTGGTAAACTGTTATCTTTGATTCTTTTTCTGTCTAGAGATTTGATCCCCTGTTTAATTCGATTCGATTTCTTCTTGCAGTTCAGCACGTTTTGAGGGCTCTCTCAACATGGATCTGAATGAGATCCCCATGAACCTGGTACCGTTCCCGCGTTTACATTACCTCGTGCCCAGTCTAACTCCTCTCTACACACTTGCAGATGTCAACGTACCACCACGCAGGTTTGTCATTATACATTTGCAGTCACTTTTACCCAGTTTCACCTCATCTCCTCTTACACCTGCCTTTTACACCATCAATTCGGTACTCGCCCAGCCGCACACACAGAGAGTGGGCTTTCCTCTTTCGCGTCTCCATGCGTTTGAATGGACTAGGGATGCGATGATTATAGTCTGAGGAATAATCACGGTTTTTCACGATTATTATGCATTCATTATTTTCACAATGCCAACCAATGTATAAAATCACATGAACACTCTTTATTGCTGTCTTTTGAAACAAAGTATGGGGGGCTGGGGGTTGTCTTATATTTAGAACAATACGATAATGCATTGAATATATATTTTTTTTTTTTAATTTAGCGCGTTTAATGTGAATGCGTCTATAACTATAGAGAGTACAAAGAGAATCACAATGCTGAAAACCCTTTTTATTAACAACTTTTGGATTTTAAATAAAAATAATGCATAAATGTTATGTTTGTGGTGTACAGTTGCAGATCAGTTGTGCACTGCAAACACCATGTGCTCCTGCACTGCAAACGGAGTATGTGTGGACATGGCGTTAGTCATTAAATGTGCAGTTGGGGATGGGATATATGCACGCATAAGTTCCGCATTTGACGTAAGGATGCTCGTCCATTTCCGGTTGTGTAGATTAAAGCGGAGGAAAACCGGAGAAAACGGGATTATGGCAGAGTCTTCAATATTTACGGTCCTCCCGTCTTTGAAACGAAACGTACATACGTTTAGATGTAATTTTATATATAGTTATGTTTATTTAATATAATTTTAAAAAGAAGCATAAACACAACGAGGGGTGTCTGTTTTATCTGTTTTTGACTAACGTTTCATTAGTATAACCATGGAGTATAAAATTCAATATAAATTCTCGGTATTGCATTGGACTCTATGATCGGCGGAAGTTATCGAGCATCCCTAATGCTTCACCGGAAATACCGCCGTGCATAGAGCCCATTGTCTACAGAGACATTTTCTGTTATGCTTATTGAAAGTTTCCTCATATCCTGATAGCAATCACAATTCATGATGTTAAGCGTCTAAATGTGTTTTATATATATCGTCTGTGGAAGACTTAGGACTGTAAAATGTTCGTTCAATCATTGCATTTGTTCCGAATGAAATAATAACATGTTCCCTGTCAGTCAACATGTGTTTTCACACCACTGCACAGCCTGTACACACAGGCGTCATACGTCATCAGTGTGTTTCACGAGTTAGAATGGCAGGCAAAGTGAACATTATTATAGGACTGTGTTTCTCACTGTAAAGTTTTCTCATCGGTGTGTTTACACATGATGTAATCCAATAACGTTGTCTCTGGTCGTCTCTCTTCTGGTCTGTCTGTGTTCATGTGTTTTGGAGGAGGCAAGGCTTTGGACGCCGATTTGCCGTAAAGGCGGAATCGTATCCTTCAATGCTATCAGGCTAAAGTTAGCATTTCCCAGAACACCTATTGCACCTTTAATGTTAATCAAACAACACAACTCAGTTTTAACAAAGATTAATCTATATTTCATTTATACAGTGAACACTATAGTGGTATTTTACTTTCAGGCCTAATTATGTCCGTGTCTGAATACACTATAACTTTGTTATATAGTATTCATCTATAAGTAATAAGTGAAAAATTCACACAAGCTTGCGTCTCCTGTTAACCACATTTGCATACGTATGATTGGAAGTCTGGATTGTGATCGATGCTTTAGAGCTGAACTCTGTAGGCCTGAAGTTGAAAAATCCTGCCACAGAAGCTTTAGTGTCTCATGTCATCATCATGTGAATAAGTGAATGCTGTGCTGTGTTTTGTAGGCTGGATCAAATGTTCTCAGATGCATTCAGCAAGGATCATCAGCTGATCAGAGCCGACCCCAAACACAACCTGTATCTGGCCTGTGCTCTTATGCTGCGTGGAAACGTTCAGATGTCAGATCTGCGCCGGAATATTGAGCGGTACGTCTGTCCCATAATTCCATTTGGTTAGCCTTCTTCTGTCTATTTTTTCCATCCATATCTTTTGTATTCTCACTTCAAAACCTAATAATCTGCCTCGCTGTTGACTGTCTACACGTATGAAGCTAGTTCACATGAGGAACATGTGCGAGCGCCTAAGAAGACGTTAGGATTAGGGTTGGGAATCGTGAGAAATTTTCCGGTTCCGATTCCGGTTCCGCCAAACGATTCCGATTCCCATTCAATTAAAAATATTAGTAAGAGAAAAATCCTCAATCCCTTTTGTGTTTATTTCTTATAGTACTTGAAAAATTAGTTTAACAGACTGGTAATGTAAACAAATTCAACATATTATTAATCAAAAAAATAAAAAAAAATAAAAAGGAAATTAAAAAATTCTGCATTCTCTAGAATAATTTAGGACCTCTCCTTTATTGTATCTCCAACAGTGATGCCCTCTCAGAAGGGGTAGAATATGCTTTAACACACATATGTGTGTAGAACAGATTATTTTTAAAAACGGTTTGAATTATTGATTCATAAAGACTTTAATTATTGAATTATTACTGGATAAATCGGCCCTAAACAGCAGTTAATAAACAGAACTGCAGTGCATGCGTCTTGCGGAAGAACATAGTTGCCGGAGCTACTTTTCTCTGTTTATCTCCATGACGAGTCACGCAGGCATTGGGCTACTCCGCAGCAGCTGTGATCCGCCATCCAGTCGAAACAAGTCCGAGTATTAACGCTTATTACAGGCTTTACGTAGTAATTCAAGATAAGACAAAAACACGGTTTGAAAAAAAGCATTCATGATGCACTCGCTCATTGTATACATTTTGTAAATTCTGAACACAAAAAAGTTACGGACTGCGTTTTGATTACTACCGTCAATGTTTACTCAAACTATAATCTCACTACTTCTGTAACGTTAATCATTTGAATATGTGTAATATAAATATTGATACTGTGTGATTATAAAGCAGTTTCATATCGACAACTGCTCTCTCTCTCTCTCAGCGCAAACAGATTTGAATGTACGTGACTCGGCACGCGCGTGTGTACTATAAATGCAGCGCATGTGAAAGCAATCGCAACTTCAGTGGTGAAGTTTTTGTCATTTAGGACGGCGTAGGTGTTTGAATCGAAATAAGACGGCGTAGGTGTTTGAATCGAAATCTTTTAAAGATTAATCATGCAGCTCTACTCTCTCTCTCTCTCTGTCTGCGCCTTGAGGTGAGACGCTAAAGGATAATCTACTCCCAGTCCCATGACTTCGCCCTCATATCGCACCAGAACCGTTTTAGGAACCGAAACTTAGGAATTTTGCACGGTTCCGGTATTTTTTCAAAAACACTACCGGTTCTGGAAAAGAACTGGTTCTCGGTTCCCAACCCTAGTTAGGATGTTGCCTTATGCCGAGTTCAGACTGCATGATTTTAGCCACGATTTTGGCTCGCCGACAGGTTTTGAGAAATCGCAGACAAATACCCGAAATCACAGGCAAATCGGTGCTCGTTCACGCGAGTGACAATCAGGCAGTGTGAATGAGCAAAGACGCGAACTGAGAGAATCACAGACGAGTCGCCGACGCCCGTGATATATTTGGCATGCTAAATTCGATTCAAAATCCTGCTGTGTGAAAAGTGTTTTGACTGAAAACTACATCGGCGATCACCGGCAGCCAATGAGAGAGCAAGATACAGAGCAACAGGGAGTTCGGTGAGGAGTTATAGATCACATATCAACATGATATGGCATTGTTTCAGGAAAAAAAGCTTCTTCTCGGTCTATTTGGACACAATAAATGGAAGAAAAATTTGTAGAAATTTGGCAGGAGCACTCGTGTCTGTTTGACGTTTCACCAGCTGTACCACAACCAGAACTCCGGTCTTGCACGTGTGGTGTCGCGTTGTTTCCTTTTCACAATCACATCTCACGTGTGTTTGTTGTGAAACGTAGTTTGCGCGCAGCGTGTTAGACAGAGTCTGACGGCGATTTTTTCCTATTGTAAAGTCATGCAATGTGAAACCTTCTGTCACCGATCAATCGTCCAGTGTGAACACAGCAGTGACTGAATGCTGGCCAAGATAGTCATGCAGTGTGAAAAGAACAGCGACCCGACTATTTTGAAAATCATGCAGTCTGAACTCGGCATTAGAAACCAGCTGCATGTGTATGGAGCTAGGATTGTGCCTTTAGAGAAAATCGGATTAAAAAATAGGATTGTGCTTTGAGAAAATAAATGATCTGAGAGGGAAAAAAAATGTTTGAGAGAAAAAGTTTTCATACCAATAGCAACAAATTATAATATTTGAGACGTTTTTTTTTTCTCATAGAACATAAAAAATATATATTTTTAATTATTTCTGAGAAAAAAAATCTTTCTCAAAATACTTAAATATATATTTTTTGCTATCAGTGTGAAAACATTTTCTCTAAAAAAAACAAAACAAAACGTGTTTTTATCCACTCTGCATGAGCTCTTAAAGTGGCAGCAACCAAACAATTCACATGCTGCCGCTAGTCCTTAGTTCAGTGTTTCTCAAACTCAATCCTGGAGGTGCGACTGTCCTGCAGAATTAAGCTCCAACCCTGATCAAACACACCTACCTGTGAGTTTCTAGTGATCCTGAAGACCTTGATTAGCTTGCTCAGGTGTGTTTGATCAGGGTTGGAGGCTAAACTCAGACAGTGGCCCTCCAGTACCGAGTTTGAGAAACCCTACTTAAAACAACAAAAGAGAAAATCACTCACTGATCTTCACTAACCCCTTTTCCAACCAAGAAGAACTGGTTCAGAACTGGTACTGGTTCAAAGTTGGTTCGGAGTTGGTTCAACTTGTTCCGTTCAGAACCTGTTTGTTTTTCCACTGACTAGACGAGGGAACGACGTCATTACGTCACTGTGTATGTCACTAGAAACGCTTGCAAGTACATTGCTTTGGGATTATCTCTAACTCGTGTACCAAGAAGGCTTTAAAAACAATTAAATATGTAATTCTTTTAATCTTTTCATTTGATATGTAATCTTTTCTGCTTAGTTATGTAACCCTGTTTTGTGTTTTTTTTTTCCTTTCCATTTATTTGTTCTATATATCGTGACTGTTTTCTTCTTTGCTTATGTTTAAAAAAAAAACAAAAAAAAAAAACGCTTGCGCCAACTTCAAGCATAACAATTACAATGTTTCTGCAAATGTTTCTCCTGGCTTTGCGATCCTATATTATTGTCAGAAAAGATGTTTCTAACACATCTAAACCCGCCCCAGCCCCCGACGTAAGCATGGTGTGGTAAAAGAACGGTTCTAGTCCAGCAAAGAGTTGGTGCCGCTTTGGAACCAGTTTTCCCGGCTGAGAACCGGTTCTTTGGCTGTCGAAACACTAAGAACTGGTTCGCGTGCATGCACCGGCTCCGAAACGGCTCTCAAAATGCTTTGGTGGAAAAGGGGCTGCTGAAAAATTTAGTAGCTTAAATAAGAGTCCATGTATAATTTTTACAATGAAGTCTAGCATTTAATTTTTTACATGGGTTTATTCAATTTCGTGTTTCAATGGTGCTGTTAGTATGTTTTGTATTTGTAATGTGCAGTTTCGTTCTTTTTTTAATAACAAAGATAAAATAATTAAATAAAGATTTGTATCTTCCCCGCAGGGTCTGTCTTTCATATTTCTGTTATATTTTGTTTCTTTGCAAGGCTTAGTTTTTAATAGCAACATGTACTGCCTGGTCACTTGCTAAATAGTAAAAACAACATGAAAAGAATTGTGATTAAAATAATGATTTTCCTGATAAAATCGTGATATGATATTATTTACCATATTGGCCACCCCTATCGGCTTTTGCTTGTGTGACAGATGTTGTCGAAGGTGGAAGTGTGCACATGAAAAATGCACAGAAAGCTGGGATCTGAGTTCTTTTGAGGTTGTGGTGTGAACAAGAAAAGGATCAAAAAAGAAAGCGGGTTCTCTTGATTTCGGGTGTTTTGGAGAAAACCTCTGTAGGACAGTGGCCCTCGAGCAGCAGAGTATGACACATGTGGCCTAATAGGACACTTCTTATTGTCATGATGATGTACAATGTCACCATTCTGATTTGTGATCACCGATTCATCCATGCAGAGGAGCAGTGCTGAAGCACTAATAAATAATACTACTCAAAATACAAAAACAAAAAAAAAAACAAAGTAAATTGCATTTTTATGTTTCAAACAGAGAGAGGCAGTGATAGAGAGGCAAAGGTTGCATGAAATATATATTTCTTTAGATCCACTGTCTTATCTTTGTAAGATACACAAAGATAACCCACTCGCAGCATCTTTTTTATGGTTGTTGTTGTCTACGATTGGAAAGATTTTGCATTAGAAGCACTCCTGTGGCACTTTAAAATGCTGTCTACGTAGGAATAGAGCTGTAGTATATCTCTTTTTTAATGAAGTGATCTGTATATAATCCATGATCATTTACATGCATCTCTCTATTTCGAAGTAATGAATAATCTGTGTTCTTCTTTTTTAGGCTAAAGCCCACCCTGCCATTTGTCCCATGGAATCAGGAGGGATGGAAGACTAGCCTGTGTTCAGTCCCTCCTGTGTGTCACTCACATTCCCTGTTGGCCTTGGCCAACAACACATGTGTGAAATCTACCTTTCTTGAACTAAGGGAACGTTTTGTGAAACTCTACCGTAGGAAGGTGTGTCCCAAAGCACCACTATATAGCATATCACACGTTACATATTCATAATGGCCTTCTGTGTTTTTATTTATTGCACAGACACTAGTTTTCTCAATGATGGCAGTTTAAAGGGAGGTAAATGGCTTCATGTCATGTGTTGGGCTTTTAAGATGTCAAGTAAAGGAGAATTGTATTTTTACAATTCGAATCCGGCCCATGATTGGGGTGATGGCGCCTCAGGACTTGAAACCAAATGACTGAAGTAGTCTTATATTTTGACTTAAACAGTTACACATTTCACCTTTGAAAATAGTTGTATTGTCTCTCAAACTTGTGACCATTTAAAATAAAAGCTACATGGTTTGATATTTTGCTTCACATTCCTATTTTTTAGTTTCCATATGTATTAATGGTGTTTCGTTTGATCTGCCCTCAGGCTCACTTGCATCATTATCTAGCAGTGGATGGCATGGAGTTGGCTGGATTTAATGAGGCACTATCATCTATCTCAGATCTTATTGAAGACTACACACACCTGGAACACCCTCTCATGCCCAACGCACCCAGACTCACCATCGCCACCTGAACTATTCTAGCAAAGACCCTTTCAAGGCAAGTCATTTCAGATGGCAGCCATCTTTGAAACTCTCTCGGGCAGCTATTTTAGTCCTGCTAGTACAGCTCCTATCTCTTTGAATGGGGAAACATCAAATTCTCCAAAGCTGTTCACAAAGCTTACGATTAAATTTCATATTTGAAATCACAAATGAGGTCTTACAACAGCTGTCGTAAATGTGATAATTTGAAAGAAAATTGTTTCTTATGCTCAAAAAGCATTAACAACAGCTGCAGTGACGCAAAGACTTTACCAATCAGTGATTGGCTCTTTTATTTAGAAGGCGGGACTTCACCATATTTCACTTGGGGGCACTTTCTCCCATTCATAGTAATACACCGTCTTTAGCTCTATTCGGACTGTTACCGTTTCTAATGTGGACGTCTGTAAAAATAAATGCATGGCACCTGTTTCTTAAACGCATGCATTCGGATGGCGAATTATTCGCTGTTGAGGTGTGAGTTTTGTGATCCTACAAACCCAGGAACACGCTGCTCATGTGGTCATTCGCATGGTTGTCTGCTGTAAATAAAATGTCATGTGCTTTGAATTGGAATATATGTAGATTTTATTTAAAAATAGGAAAATAATATCCTATTTATTACATTATTATTTATGTCTCCTCTCCTGTTTAAAAATAGGAAGATAGACGTGTTATAGTTAAAATAGTTTACTGTCTTGTATTTGATCTCAAAATGGATGTCATTAAAAATAATGTGGAATAGAGCAGAAATAAGTTAATACAGCCTCTTTTTTTGACAAAGCGTCTTAGTTTATAATTTTAAATGTATGTTGTTGTTGCCATTTCAAATGCTTGCTTGCTTTTCTTTGGTTTCTCCTTTGAGCAGTGATGAAATATTGTTTCTGTAAATACTTTCCAGCATTTCAGTAATAAAAGTGTAAGTAGGCTAAATCTTTAAAATGTAGCCAAATTACAGCAGAGCACAATTGTTATCCTATGGTGCTCGGCAGTGGACAAAAAGGATTTTAACAGTAAATTTTGAATTGATCTCTTCTTGTAAACTTAGTGATGTGGAGCAATTAAAAATCCACACGACCTTGTGTTTTATCAAAATAACAGTAGGTAATTTGTCCGGGAATTTTTGAGCTTGTGGTGGGAGAAAAACACTGACATTCTAGATTCGAACAGCAATAAAATCAGCAGCCAGCCCCTGAAAAGGTTGAGGATACCTTACGGCCCAATGAGAAACAATTACCTCCAGAACAGGCCTTTGATACTAGACAAAAATATAAATAAATAATACTTTCGTACTTCTGGACCTATATTTTCTTGTTGTAGAGACATAGCTAGAAACATTAGCTCAACCAGTAGTGTGAATGTGGTGTGGATCTGTGGATCACTTCTGGTACTGCAGAGTTGAGCTCCTTCCCTAATTGTAAAAAACCTACCTGTAATTATCAAGTAATTACATTGGCTCGATTGTTTTTTTTTTTTTTTTTAGAGGTGTTGAATTAGGGTTGGACCTCATCACTGCGGGACAGAAGCACTCCAGGGCCGGGATTGCCCATCCACGTAATATTGGCTCTTCACCTGTAAAATTATATATATATATATATATATATATATATTTTTTTTTTTTTTTTTTTTTTTTTTTTTTGTATGAAAAAGTTAACAAATAGTCATAATATCAAACATTGCCTGAATAATGTAGTTTTAATAGAAGGAAACACAGATTCATTTTTCATTACACTTCAGTAAAACACAAGAAATGCCTCTCAACATACACAGTCAATACTTTAGTCTTGTCATTGGCACTGTCAAACTCTCATCCTCATTTGTTGGCAGATGATTTGTTTGCAGGTTAGCTGTATTTTTACTTTACACTTGTTTTCACATCACTATGATCATTCATTCAGAAGGTTTTGCCTCATGGGTTTTTAATTAAAATCAATCTTAAATTCTTGCATAAAGTCATAAAAGGTCTTAAATGTAATGTTCTTTAACATACAGACAGTGATGTAAAATGGATTGCGTAATCAGATTTAAAAAAAATGTAGTACTTTACAGTATGTTTTAAAATGCTCATAATCAGATTAGTGTTACTTTTTATGGATTATATGATTTACATATTTAGATTCACACACTGGCAGTAAATTATTCATAATTTATTCATTCTCACTAATTATTCTTTTATTTTCTACAAAAACTGATTGTGTCATACCATTTAGCTTTGACTATATTCACAATGTAGAACTACTAATCCCTGAAAGCATAGAATGTGAAATGTCATTGCTGTTTTCGTGTTTATTATTATTTGTTCATGTAATGCAGGGATTCCCAAACTTTTTTTTTTTTTTTTTTTTTTGTCAGACAAACCCCTTTGACCTAAAATATTTTTTTGGAGACCCCTGAGATTTTAAACAAGTTCGGTCAAAAGTAATCTAAAAGTAGTCTGAATATATTACCTAAAATGAGTAATATAGTTTACATTACTGACTACAACTTCCATCATGTAATTTGAAATTAGACTAAAGACTATAGTTGTTTCATAGTTTTCATTCTTATGACTGGCACAGAGACCTGGAGAGCAAAAGACCCATACAACTGCAACACAGGCCTGTCAGTTATCAATCTGTTACAAGCCATGAATATTAAGATCACCTCTCAAATATATGTGAACAGAAAAGCAAGTTCTGCACACCTGTGATCCATAAACAAATCCTGCCACAGTATTTCAATCACTCCAAACAGCACGACATCCTTAAAGGGTTAGTTCACCCAAAAATGAAAATTAAGTCATTAATTACTCACCCCCATGCTGTACCAACCCCGTAAGACCTTCGTTCGTCTTCGGAACACAAATGAAGATATTTTTGATTAAATTTGAGAGCTGTATAACTACCACATAGACTGCCTAAGGGACTGCCTCTTGACGGCCCAGAAAGTCAATGAAGAAAATGTTTAAATATTCCATGTGACTACAGTGCGAAAAAACAAACAAAAATAACGACTTTATTTGACTATTCCTTTTCTTCCTTGTTGACCTGAAACGGGACTTCCATACGATTTCCACGACGCATGCGCGAGAACTGAACTAAAGTAGTTGAAGGAGATCGCAATTCTCGTGCATGCGTCGTGGAAATCGTATTGAAGTCTCGTTTTAGGGCAACAAGGAAGAAAAGGAATAGTCGAATAAATTCGTTATTTTTGTTTGTTTTTTCGCACTGTAGTCACATGGAATATTTAAACATTTTCTTCATTGACTTTCTGGGCCGTCAAGAGGCAGTCCCTTAGGCAGTCTATGTGGTAGTTATACAGCTCTCAAATTTAATCAAAAATATCTTCATTTGTGTTCCGAAGACGAACGAAGGTCTTACGGGGTTGGTACAGCATGGGGGTGAGTAATTAATGACTTCATTTTCATTTTTGGGTGAACTAACCCTTTAAAGGACAATTCCGTCGCAAAACGAACCTTTGGTCTAATAACATGTTAGTACCTAGTCGAACGTTCTCTGAGATTTATTTTCATGATAATCGAATGTAAAGAGTTTTATCTCTAAAAACTGTGTAGCATATAACGCTAGTATATAGGGCATAGAGTAATGAAAAATAAAAATCGCTAGTTAATACCACTAACAAGGCTCTTTTATTTTTTATTACTCTATGCCCTATAGCGTTATACGGTACACAATTTTTAGAGATAAAACTCTTTACAGTCGATTATCATGAAAACAAATCTCAGAGAACGGTTGAATAGGTTACCAAAGTGTTTTTAGACCAAAGGTTTTGCGACGGAGTTGACCTTATTTCCTCTATAAGGATTTTCTATGGAAGAACACTTAAGGTGTATGTTGAATTTGGTCTTTTAACAGCACCGTCAAGATACAAAACTGGTAAGAAATGACTAATTTTCTGGAAGTCAATCATATTCAATGAGAGTTGATGAATTGTTTCAAAGTTGAAAAGAGTTCAGCTCTAATGCAAATGCGCATTTGCTACCGATGGGAGTGTATGCTGTCCCGGTTCATTCGACTCTTGACTTCAGTTTGCACCTGAATATATTATTTATATTAATAATAGCTTTCCCCTTATACACCACGTTAAATGCTCTGTTTTAAATAACTTTTATCTTGTCCTCTGTTCAGACCTTGAGCTATGAAAATATATTTTCGCTTCATGAATATGTATGCAGTTGAACATGAATAGGAATGCTAAAAGATGGCTTTCTCTGGTTATTATTATAGACCTTGCTTTGTGGCACGGTTTCTGTTTTTCAGAGTCACCTCTAGTTGAGCTTGGGAGTTTCACGGTCCAGGTTAAATGCGTAGTGTAGATGTGTTAAGGATAATTTGTTTTAACTTATTCAGAATTATTCAGAGCATATCAATGTTTAACCTCTGAGCTGAGTTTTTTGAAGGTCAGCTTGTTATCCTACAAATTCACTTGATAATGTTATCTCGGCATGTACCCGTGACTGAGAATTTGAGTCCGAGTTAAAGCAAGACGTGTTTTAACATGTTTGACATTGCTTCATTAAAGTGTTTACAAAATGCCCTCCCCTACTTCATTACTTGCCATATTCCAGACAACAGAGTAAAACACTGATTTTGATTTGTTTTGACAGTTGGACGTTTAGGCCTGAAACATACTCTACTCAAATATGTGAACGCAGACACAATTTCACTTGTGCTTATGAAAGTCATTTCATAACACAAGTACACACTGCACTTTCTGCGTCGACTCTAGGAACGCTATCCACCTTACTTTACTATTTTTGTGAATGTGTGAGACTTCTTATTCATTAGCTGCTATCCACAAGTTTCCTACGCCCTATGAGGCCTTGCGTCAAAAGTGGGCGCGACTTCCGGTTGGAAGTAAACAAAGCGCGATTTGACATGCTTGACACTCGTTCATTCAACAGTTGACAGTCATTCAAGTTATAGCGATCCAAACTAGCTAACGATGTGGGAACACAACCTCAACGAAATTCAAAAGGGTGAAATAACAGTACCTTTACCCTCCGCAGTAGTTGATTGGGAGTATTATAATAACATTATTAATAATCAATACTCATCAAGGCATGGTGGCAGACAGTTGTGCGAGCTGACAAACATTAAAATAAAAAATACACACTTAGTCATTGTGCTTTGGAGTTTATTCAAAAATTATAAATGAATGTGCTGCTTAATATTACTGGTACATTTGGTATTCTGTCAACACAGGCTTTGATCCTGAGTTTAGGTGTAACATCAGTTGAGAACAGCCAAACACATGCTGATAGAGTTTATAGAACATTAAGAATTTAAACAAATGTACACAGGAAGATTCGTCGTCTTTTGAGAGGTGATGGAAACTACAGTCGTTGGCAGGATCACTCTGATTTCGTTTTCAGCTTATGTTCAAAACAATCCCGTTTAAGCCACTAATTAGTTTAGTCCGCTATATATACAACCGCGAACAGCACATGTTGTCCCTGAGCTCCGTAACGACATCTCTCATAAAGATTTGCGTCTTTAAATAGTAAAATAATTCTCCGAAAAACAGCTAGCCTCTTCGCTAACTAAACACACAAATACCATTGGAATGCTACTT